CCTTGCCAAGTTGTTGGCTCGTTCGACCGAGCCAGTATTGCATTGTATTTTTCATGACGCACGGCTTTTGCTTATGTTTGACCCCATGGTGAACTAGGGTAAGGGGCAGTCGGATCCGAGCACGTTTTAAAAATAATTTGTCACAAAGTTGAAACTTTGCTTTTATGGAATTGTCAGACTTAACCATTATGTTATTCTGACGCACAGCTGGGTGAACCTACACGTGGGGAGGTAACTATTATGTCATTCGGCTAACCAAAAAGCTAAAACGTTAGACGTCACCTCGTCTGGAGTTTGATATTCAGAGCAACAGCGCTGTACGCTGTCTGACACACGTCTGCCGTAGCTAACACAGTCTAACATTCACGAAGCTTCCATGTTATCTGGAACGAATTCAAAGTTGTTGATTTTTTGTTATTTGGGAATAATGGTCTCACATTTTCATCTGCTTGGACGCCGTTTGGCAAAAAGTCAGCAAGAATTCACTGCATTGACCAGACGCTAGGATGTGGCGAACAAATTTCACCAGTTTCTTCTCAAAACTACAACCTTTGGCGATATCGCTATGGATAACATCACCCTAGGCGCCTATAACAATGTGCTAGTATGTGATAAAACGATGGGAGGGGAGGCCAGGAGAAGTCTGTATCAGACTCGTTACTGGTATCACGCCATTAAAACATTGAAAACATTCATATCACTCAGACTTTAGCCGAAAATGCCACGATAGTGCAGTCTACCTCACATTGATCCCCAAAGTTTCTCTCCAACTTGAGGCGAAAATCAGCGGTGCTTCTAGAAGTGTTTAAGGGCTCTACTGCCTTCCCGAGACGCATGATATGTAACTCCAATAACCTCAAGCAGAGAGTCCATTGACGTAGTTCACTACAGGGATGCGGTAACAACGTGCATAAGACGCTTTTGCACGGCCCATTGCATGGTTTGGTCAGTCTCATTGACGAAATTTCTATAGACCCACATCCCTGAGACTTTCTACCTGTTTCGGCTGTAGGCAACAGGTTGCACTCGTTCAAAGTCTTGGCCAAGAGTTTATTTGCTTCGTCTGTTTTACCTGTAAACCGCCTGTGTACGTGATCTATTTTTTCAACCTTTATTTAACCTTGAAGACGTACATGCCAGATCTATACAGTAAGTACAAGCTGTGTACTCGTAGTAGACGACCACTACTAGAGAAGTAGGACTTGTCCTATTTGGCGTAAGGTGTAATTTTAAGAGTAGGTACCTAACTTGGTCATGGTTTCTGACGAGTTTGAATGTTTTGTTTGCATTATTTTGTCAGGCTGATTTTGTCAATGCCTATTGCAATTTGTAGAAGCTGACAGTTACGTATTGTGTTTCAGTACAGAATACGAGGCTCTGTTTTCGCGTTCAAGTCAATCGTGTTTTCACAGAGGAAGACACCACAGATATGCCATCTCTCGGCCAGCCCTGTACTCCTCCAATGGAACATATAGTAGTTTCTACTGATGGTGTCGAAAAAATGCTTCAAGGTCTCAATCCCTCTAAAGCATCCGGACCAGACCAAATACCACCGTGGTTCCTCAAGTTGACAGCTAGTGAAATCGCGCCTGTTCTAACCAATATTTTCCAACACTCGCTAAACACTGCAGAAATCCCTAAAGATTGGAGGGATGCAAATATATGCGCCATCTTTAAAAAAGGAGATAGAGCGGTCCCCAGCAACTACAGACCTGTTTCACTGACCTGCATATCCTGCAAACTACTTGAACATATTATCCATAGCCAAATCATGAAGCACCTAGAAAGTTACAGTATATTAACGGATTACCAGCATGGATTCAGAGCCAAACGATCCACAGAAACACAGCTTATACTAACAGTCCATGACATAGCTGGCGCACTAAACAGTAAACGGCAGGTAGATTTAGCAATACTTGATTTCACTAAAGCCTTTGATAAAGTCCCCCATGGCAGGCTCATCTCAAAACTGGAGTATTATGGAATCCAAGGCCCTACGCTGAATTGGTTAAAGGCTTTCCTGACCAACAGGGAGCAAACAGTAGTGGTTGAAGGGAAGGCGTCGGCTCCAGTTAAAGTAGCGTCTGGGGTCCCTCAAGGAACCGTCCTGGGGCCATTGCTCTTTCTCTTGTATATAAATGACCTACCAGATCAGCTTGACTCAAATGTGAGGTTATTTGCCGATGACTGTCTATTGTATGTAGAGCTTTCTACACAGACCGACTCACAACTTCTCCAAAAAGACCTGAACACCCTGGAAGAATGGCAAAGCAAATGGCTCATGCAGTTTAATCCCGAAAAATGCTACATTATGCACATAACAAACAAACGAACACCACATGCAACTAGCTACCAGTTTTGTGGTCAGGCTTTAGCAACCACAAAAATCCATCCGTATCTGGGCGTCACGCTGACAAGCGGACTGAAGTGGGGTGCACATGTTAATAATATCACAACTAAGGCGAAACAGACATTGGGAGTGATTAAACGTAATCTGTGGGCATGTCCAACTAGAGTAAAATCACTTGCATACACGTCACTTGTAAGACCGAACCTAGAATACGCTGCGACAGTATGGGATCCATATACAAAGAAAGACAAAGACAAATTGGAAAGGGTACAGAATCAAGCTGCAAGATTCTGTATGAACAACTATATAAGAGGTGCTAGTGTCACGGAAATGAAAAGAAACCTACAGTGGACCCCACTGGAAGACAGAAGAAAGATGTCTAGACTATGCATGATGTACAAAATGACTAATAAACTGGTGGATGTCCCAACTACTAAGTACCTAATACCAGCCCAGAAGAGAACAAGAAATAGCCACGCATTCAAGTACCAGAGTTATCAACCGAGGATTGAGGTGTTCAAGAATTCATTCTTTCCTAGAACTATCGCAGAGTGGAACTCACTGTCACCAAGTACAGTAGGGGCATTGTCAATAGATAGCTTTAAACAATGTCTAGAGCTAGAAGTTCAAGGGTTAGGTGTAACAAGTCGATCGGTGTAATATAGCCAGCTGCCGCCGCGCCGCGTGCCTGCGAAGCTGGTGTGTTACGCCGAAAGGCGGTTATACCGGCTATACAGATACAGATACAGATACAGAATCGTTTTACAGTCATTTCTCTTAATACATGCCGAACTCTGATAACCTTCACCTACGCAGCGCTAGTTACGTGCTGTACGTGGATTCTTGGAAAGTCCCCGCCTGTCTGTGCCAGGATCAATAATCTCCCAGCGTACTCAGCATTTTATTTTGAAAGGTAGTTAAGATTACGGCCTTAAGCCTGGAGTTGCGATGTCTGCATGATTGATGGATAGGGCTAACAGAACATGTAAAAGTTATTCTGCTCCAGACAGGATTTCGGCACAGTGCTGGTAACACGAGTTATATCATGACGAAACGGTGAACTTGCGTTTACTTATGGGTACGGAAGTATTATTTTGGGTGGGTTTGTCTGTGGGTTTGTGTGTATGCTTTTTTTAACAGAGTAGGTTGACAGCACGTGGATTGGGGAGATTGATCATGACAGGCAGAATGACAGGAGATCTAAGAATCTTTAGTTTGCTTTAATTTACGTACTTAACTTTGCGTTACTTTACTTTACTTTACTTTACTTTACTTTACTTTACTTTACTTTACTTTACTTTACTTTACTTTACTTTACTTTACTTTACTTTACTTTACTTTACTTTACTTTACTTTACTTAAATCAATTCAACTGGTGTGTAAAGGTTGACTCACCATCGTTTCGTTTACGATTTGACCGTTGCATTATACCTTATCTCATCAACAAAGTTCTTCCTCCCATAACTGCTCACGGACATTAAAAACATTTTAACGGCTTTCTGAAAGATTGCAAACTAGTCCCATGTCCCGGAAATTAACTAACGTTCAACTGGGGTCGTACGCTTAACGGCTCGTTAGAATTTGTACTGCATGGAACTGCAGGTGGCCACTTAGTACTGACTCCCCGCCCACAAGTCGAGCTGCTGATGAAATGGTATTGTGGTCCGGCCTTCCGCATCACACAGCTGCGGTCAACAGTCAAGGTTCTGTCGGGGGAAAATGGGACATGTTGTATCCAGAACCGTGCTTTATCCAAACCATGCACAGGAACGCGTTAGAATCCACACGTGTCCTGAACCCTGCCTGGCTGGGGCAAATATATGTTCTTCGATGCGCGCAAACCGTATCTAAAACCGTGCCTAATCCTAATCCTAACCCATTCAGGAATAGATATGCGGATACAATAGGGTGCAATTCGTCCCGATAACCAAGTCATCTTTAATATCTCCGATTATTTATGCGTCTATGCTTTACATCAGAGCCAATTCACTCCCACGCAGATTCCGCCACTGCTGCTCTTCTGAATGAAGTCAAGAGTATTCAGCTCGGAGCGTACGTTGCCCTCGGCTTCCGTCGCAGGTTTTCGAACGCCAGGACGTTAAAATGGAAGTCGGAAACGTTGAGCCAATGAAACTTGTCGGACAAAGTTTCAAGGAATAACTTCTGGATTTTCAACTATAACCGGTGAATGTACTGGATATACTGGATGTGCGAAGTGCTAGGCAGTACGCACCTTCGAACTAAATACGCTTGACTTCAAGAATGAGGAATTGAAAGTACAGGGCAACTTCATCTTCAACTTCATTCGTGAGGACGTTTGGCATCAATGTTTGTCTTGCGTTTTGCTGTGTACCAGCATGCACAACTTCAACATGTGACCTTTCAGGTGTCTGTTGTGAGTTCAATCATAGCTCTCACACGCGCATCTGTACAACCTTCGTTGTTGTCCACGGTGCTGCAACACATAATCGTCATAGGCTAGCTAGGACGTCGTACGATTTGATGTCAAGCAGTCACAGGCTGTCACAGAAATGACCAGCGACAGTTCTGTCCGGAATATGACTTTCATGCTGTCAGTTTATGATCGCACAATTCGTACGACGTCTGTGACCTGGCCCTAAAGAGTACAGTTCAATAACCGGTCGTCGGTGCGTTTCTTTGGTGTAGTGCCAAGTGCAAATCTTATCTTCGAGAACGCCATGTATGCAAAGAGGGCTCAACGATCGACCCATCCATTTATTGATGTAGAGATTCCCTTTCAAAGTGATAGGCGTTACTGTTCACTTGTTTTAAGCTTACCATAGAGTGAAACTGTAGTGAATCACATTGTAAAGGCGCCTTTACGTTCATCGTACGATTTTGATCTACGGTTTTCCACAGACTGTGACAAACCCGACACCGACAAGGATCTCTAAAAAAAGGCAGCTGATGGATGTACACATGGCTAAGTTTGCGATCGTACGACGTACACGTACCGTTTGTGTGACCGGCCGCGAGTCCAAAAGGAGACCACAAATACATTTTTCTATTTTTCAATCGACAGCTAGCTTTTAATCTCGGACAAAACTATATGCAAGTTGCAGGTTGAATCATTTAACCTCCTTGATCATATTGTTGAAGAGGGAAGTTGCACATACTTTACACATCCCGAATCCTTGCTAACAACGCAGCTACAAGTATATGCCTATAAGTTTAATGTCGGAAAGTTTTAAGTATTTCCAAACTAAAACTTTCAACACAGACAAGTGGCAAGGGGCTAACCCTGACCAAGTAGCTCATCTCAAAATCAGACCATACTGTCCAAAACATGGTTATACCACTACATGTACTCAGCTATTATTATGCAAGCTGTCTGGTATTCTACTACTTGTGGAATAAGTGATGTGCCTGTTTGCGTCAGAGATTGCTAACTTGAATAGGCATGAGCCCTTTCCTTGGTCTGGTGGGGATGTAGAGATCCCTGGAGGGAATATTACAGAAGTGCCTTGAAAGGATCAAAGACCAATTTGACGACGTGGGGCAAGATGTCCATTCTTATAAGTACAGCAGTGGGAAGAAGCATTTCAATTTACACCAGGCCGTTTGAATAGTACATCAACATTCTCTCACAAACTGTAGCTGACTTCCACTTAGTACAAATGGGGTTTTCTGGTGACCTTACTTTAAATGGACCTTCTGTGTCTGTTTGGGCGACTTTCTGTGAAAAATCCATCTCCGGTGAGTGGGGTACTTTGTAGCGTTGTGACATAACTTTCTAAAGGGCATCACATCCACAGGAAACACCATACAACAAGAAATTGAAGATTTCACACATTCGTGAAGTGTTAAGAGTTCTCTTTTCACTTCTCGCCGACTATGTATATGTCATTAGCTATAGCCAAGCTGCATTGCACTATAAGCTACTTGAAAAGCAGTGTGCTCCACCTCATCTGAGGATGACTTCTTCATGTTACCATACCAACCTGAATATGCCATTTCCCACTGGCTTCCATGAGGCAACAGGCAGGAAATGAGTTGACCTTTGTATCATTCATTAATTTTCTTCCCAGCCTCCCACCCCGAATTTTGACCTCCAACCTGACCTCCCTGTCAGTCTGTGGTTACACCAATCCCCCCTCACTTCCTATCACACTGCTGTATTCACATAACTACAGACATAGAAGCAAACAAACACAGCAAAAGAAACCCTTTGACTCAGCGGCAATGAAAGTTGATTATTAACTTTAATACAACACTGGACGACTATTCAGGTACATTGTAAGTTTCTTGAGCACTACACTTTTTTACTGGAACTTTGTTTCTAGTTTGTACAGAGTTACTGGTTGGTCTTCATTTCTTCTGCTCCCACACTGATCTCTTCCTTCAGAATGGCATCTATCTCGCTCCTGAGGAGGAACATGGAAACAAATCACTACGTAACAGTGAAAATTTTGTTATTTTTTAATTGACCAAAGGCTTCACCGAAACCAAAAAGGTATTGTGGAATTTCTATCAGGTAAGTGTACATGTACAAAATACATGGAAGTAGCCGTTTGGCTACCAATACAATATTGGTGGTTACAGCATTATGCAGCTGAATCTAACATAGATATCTAATGTGCTACCTTGAATCAATGAATGTTAGTTGTTACATCACACTTACTGTTCTATTTCTGTCATGGATGATTTCAGGTTCTCTGCATATTCCACAATCTTGGGCAGTCCACAGTGTACAGCAACACTCAAACCAGCCTGGAAAGAACCAATGATTAACAAATGTATTTTTTCACTGTCTGATGCTCCAATGTGCAGATAATGAAGAACATAACTGTAATGCTGACAGTAAATCCCTCAGAACCACCCAGTTTGTCCTATCAACCAAAGTCTGGAAATTTTCAGATCTCTGTGAAGTATCTAGAGTTGTTGTGAATATCTTATCTTACTCATCATGATTGTGAATTTGTCTCTGATCCTGTGCATAATCCACTGTCACTTCCTACCAACCTGCAGGGAGACCATTTTGACCTCCAATTTGACCTTCCTGTGGTTACATCATTCCCCCCTCACTTCCTGTCACCCTACTGTATTCAAATGACTATTGACACACAAGCAAACAGACAAACACACATAAAACAAAATAGCTACATACAGGGAAGTGACAAGTATGCAAAGAATATTCTTATCTGTACGTAACGTTAGGTACCTTGGCTTTGACTTTGTCCTTTGCTTCAACACAGACAGCCAGGTACTCCTCCATAGCCTCTGCCCTACAAGGGTTAAAGGGACCTGCAGTGTCATTTGTGGGCTGACATGTGGATGTGACATGTAGACTATGAGAGTCTTGTCAGGCACTAAAAAAAGCGATCTCAAACCAGTTCCGCTCAAATGCACTCAATGAATAGTTGCACTACTCTTCCACTGGTTGAGACAGAAGACAGACAATGATTCAAATGTACAGTATATACAGGTTTCATGAACAGGAGAAATCGGACCACAGCTTAACATCCTGTCCTAGGTGGAGACACTAACCACTAGGCCATGCATTGCACAACATTCTTGCATTGCACACCAACAGATAACCCCCCCCCCCCCAAAAAAAACACACTGACCTTGGAGTTTTGGTGTGCTCCTTGAACAGTGGAAGCATCTCACTGTTTGGGTAAGAAAAAAAATTGAAAGTAAAAAACACACACATCGGGCTGACAACATCACTAGTATCATACTGATGAATACACTTCATCAGTCAACTAACAGACAAACAGATACAGGAAATCCTGGTAGACACAATCTCCTGGGCTCATAAGAGGTAAACATGCACCTGGCCTTCTTGAGTTCCCCAGCTCTGAGGTACAGGATCAGAAGGTTGCTCAAAGAGGTTGAACTCCAGCTGCAAAAGATGATTGAAAAGATATTTCCTTATCTTATCTCTGAATCACAACAAATATGTATTATCATACTACATGTAGTAATATTCACAACTATCGCTAGAACTTAGAAGTCAATATTCATAATTGCAGCAATAACTGCTAGTGGTGCAAACATTACCATCCGCAATACATGTACAAATGTATGTTATTATACAAATGTAGCAAGACTAGTTTCTGCAGTATGGCAGTATGTTTTCCAAGTATAGAAACACAGCCTTCTTGGAACTCCATGATTAGTGTAACTGTTCCTGACATTAACTCATAAAACCTTCTGAAGTCTACTGGTGATTCTTTGATCCCCTAGTCCCCTGTGATTTTAAAACATGTATGGTGAACCTCTTATGTTCTCTGTAGCAGTTACAGGGAAAGAAGGTTGAAGCCATGCCTGGCCTTGGAAATCTCCAAAAGATAAATGGGTCTGGCTCAATCTTTTATGAATGTTTTTGAGGTTTTCATATACACTGTACATGTACTAGTATCTATGTCCTCATTTTTCAAAGGAATGACAGAAAAAAGGAGGTCTAAAGAGCCTCAAAAACATGTATAAAGCACTGAACCAGAACCTTCATTTGTATAATGGACATTTCAAAGGCTTCCACCAGTTTCCATGGACATGTATGTGTGACAGGAACATACCTTAGAGTAGCTCTGCGAGCTGGGGCTGCTGCCTTGTAGTAAAACTCAATGTTGTCCTTGATGTTCTGTACAACTGGCATGAACAGCTGTTGGACCTGTCGTTAGGCAAGTCGGACACACACACACAAATGGGATTTAGGACAGGACCATTGTAAAACTTGAAAGCTTGTAAGGCCACTAACATGCATTTCTAATGTATTCCTACTGTACTATAGAATTGCTTCAACTGTGATCTTAAAATACCACAAAAATCCCCTTTTCCCTCCTCATGCAACTTACTACCACAAAACTAACTGAATTTCCAGTAGTTTCATTCAGCGGCTTCAATTAAGTACACTAGAAGAAGCCACACAGGGCAAAACCAGTCGTGTGACAGGTTGAATAAAAATTCTAAACATGAACGACATGCATGTGGCTCCAGATGTCTTACTGAGGAATGACTCCTGTGTACGAGGTAAGCTTGAGGAATGAATCCACTCTACTACATTGTATACACTGAATTTCCAGTAGTGATGACCAACCTCAGGAGCCTGTTTCTCTCTGGCCATGAACTCCAGGACTCCCTCCACTAACTCCTGCTTGTTAAAGTGCTGCAGGGACCGAATATCTGTAGAGGAGGAGAGGGGAAAATGGTCTTAATGTCATGTACATGTAGCTTTTAGGTTTCAAATTATAACTTAAAATGCCTTATAATGTATGAAATTAAATATAGGGTACAAACTTCTGACATCAACACAATAGAAACCATTATGACTCATCTCAAGCTAACAGAAAACTTCATTCATGAACAAACAAATGAATGACTTATGACATTTTACATCTAGTCATTGTTACCTTCCCACAAGTCTGTGACCTTGTGATGCATGTTGCTGACCTCCAGGGCTCTCAGGATGTTGAGGATTGCAGGAACATTTGGGTAATACACCTGTAACAGTCAGCACTGCAGGTTAGGGGAGGATGGACCACATGCTACAAGTATGATTTCATTCTATGTTAGGCCACAGCAAGTAAATTTTATGGATGGCAGACTACAATTCTAATGTCAAGACACAAGAAATATGAGATGGGAAAAACAACATGACTAAATTCTAAAAATGAAGACCTTAAAAGACCTATCTGGCAAAAGTAATACTATCTAACATAATTTACAAATAAGCAGCCCAAATCTCAGGTAATATGTTAAACCCACCGAGGGCACCAGGTTCTTGTACCACTTCCACATCTCTTCTCCTCCCTCCATCTGACAAATCAGATTCAGAAACTTTCCACTGAAACAGAACAGGCATGGTTAATAATCACCATCATCAAGTATAAAGTCTACCACTACTTCCCCTTTAATCTAAATAGTTCAAGCAAGGATACTGTAAGTGATAAATATATCATCAACTTATGAGAAATATGCTGTCAACATACTCTCAAGTTAACCCCATTTCCTGTGTCTGACCTTGTAACCTGTCATTCTGCCTGTCAGTCTTTCCCCACCATGTGCCGTTAACCTACTGTCAGGCCAAGCATACACACAACCCCACAGCTCAGTCACCCAAAACAATGCCTCCGTACATGGAAGTAACAAACTGAAAACACAGGCGTACAGAATACCAACAGCAAGTGCTATCCACACTTACTAGTAGACAGACCGCGCATAGGAATCTCCCAGAAGCCTCCAGTTTTCCCCCGTCTCCTGTAACTTGTGGAGCCGATAGGCAAGCTCAACATCATTCATGCGGAGGCACTAAGGAAGGGGGAAGTTGAGAATGGTTTATTGTAGATTGTACCTTCATTTCACACAAAGTAACACAACATACAATGTAGTACAGGATGATTTTGGCTTGAAATGTTTTATATGGTATAAGAGATACAAGGAATTACTTCCTCTTTTTTCAGTCTAAAAATCTGAAATACATAAAGTTAGCAATAAACAAACTGTTTTTCTACAGTTTCTTGACTCACCATGTTCATGGCATCCACGAAGAAGCGATCTGAGAAAGAAAATGTCACAATCAGAAATGGTCAGATCATACTGTGGCAATGTTTTTCCCTCTTTACTCATTCACTCATGTACTGTGCATTTCCCAAGGGCAAAGCAATATTGTGGCATGTCAGGGGTCCAAACCCCAAACCTCTAAGTTTCTGGACAACCATTATGCCACACACACTACATGAGACTTCTATGAGTGAGAAATGTGACAATGTCCTTACTGTCATCTTGGTCCTGTATAGTAAACTCCTTTCGTTCAATCTCATCCATAATCTGGTACAGGATATCACTTGGGGGTGTATCTGAAAAAAAAGGAGGATTTTTACACATATTTCGACAATGAAACCTTGACATACATGTATGATGAGTGGTGGATCTTGAGACATAATGCTGTCATTCTTAATCATTTTTCATGTTTTGTTAGTTTAGGAAGAACATCATAATCATCAATATAGTAATCTAATTTTTAATAAGCTGTCTGCCTCATTAATTTTTAACTTTGCTTTACAGTGATCAAACAGATACTGTATGTTAATACCTAGTAAATCAATACATCAAAACTCATCTTAGCATTTTGCTTATATTTGATCACCATCATGCACACCATCTTTTGAGATCTACTTGAACTGCAGTCTGGTAAACGCAATATGTTGATACAGGAAATTTCATCAATACTTACTGGATGGATTGAAGATGGACAGTATGTGAGTATAACTGGCCAGGGATGGTTCTGTAAAGATTCAAGACAAACTGTTATATAGTGTACAAAACTGTTGCCTGAAAAAATATCTGCACAAACTATGTTCATTTGCTTTCAATCAAGTCCGATACACTTTACATGAGATAGTATAAACATGTACATCAGTACAACTGTATGAGAACAATAGATTGTTTACAAATTGGCCAGAATGTTCCTAGGACAGTTGTGTACCTATGCCCAGGTGTACCATCTCCCTGAGTACGTCCAGACACGACCTCCTGCCGGTCAGGCCACAGAAGCGGAGTGACCGCAGCGTGGCGTTGAACGTCTGCAGGTCGGGCCGGATCTGCTCCAGTCTCAGCTGGTTCAGAAGTTGCTGCAACAGTCAGGTGCAACTTGGTTTCTTTCACATGACCACTGAACTGCCTTTGGTGATAACACACTGGTTTTGTACAGTAAGTACAGGCAGCAGAGGACAAGACTGTGACCCACTCAAACCCTACTATTTTTGTGGTGACATGCTAAAGTTGTGGCTCTCTACTCTCCAAGCAGAGGTTAGTGGGGAAGATCATTACCTTTCCAAAAACGGGGCATGTATAGAAAGGTAACGATCTTCCCCACCAACCTCTGCTTGGAGAGTAGTGGGTAAAATGTGTAACAATAGAAAAATTGAAACAGTGCAGATAATGAAAAATAACAGTGTATGGAGGAAATGTTCAGTAAGTGTTGGCCTATATGTTGGCTTCCACAGATATTTTCATTAATTAATACATAAAACAGATTGTAAGAATACCTGAATAAGGTCCCATCTTTCCTCATACCGGTCTCTGACCTCCTTGACAGAATAGATCAGGGCATTGTAGGTGGATACATCAGCTACAGCGGAACAACATTAAGACCACACAATTTAAGTACATGTAACTAACCTCATCCTATCTAAGTCTGAAACTAAATCATACAGATAGCTTATGATCTGTCAAATACATGTAGCAGAAGAAAGCAATGTAACTACTTGCTGAATAAAGAGCAGAAAGTATCTCATTCAATTGCACACCAGGGTATACTAGTAACATTTTCTTGTACACCTTTTAGCGGTCCTGTCCTGTCCTTGGTGCTGAATTTTCTCTCTAATGGAAAGCCATTCATGATAATACATTTCTGACCTTCGAATTGACACTTTCCTAACTCCATGGCACCCAAACTGTGTTAGAGGTATTATCCACCATATTAAGAGTATCCCTGTACTACAATACTCCTCTATATGAATAGTTTTGTCCCTCATGATGACAGTTGTATACAAAACTCACTGACATGGCTCTGTCCTTGGTGCTGAATTCTATGTTCATGCCAGAACAACCTTTGTCAGAGCATTCTCAAGGCATCATCACTGTTAGTGCTTCTTTCAACTGGACCCACCAGTATTTTGTACCAGGAAATCACTATACTGTCAGCATATCATTATGGTACTGACTATTTTCCTTATTTTTGTTGTGAAACAATCTCTGATTCTCAGTCTGAATATGTAAAGATGTTAATAAACTTAATGATTTTGCAATTTCTTTCATAAGAATGATCTAAACTTGTGGGCAGGCACCTACCTCGTAATCCTTTCTGCTGCATGTCATTGTATGTTCTAAAGGCTTGGTCAGCTGCTTCATACTGTAGGGAATAAGGAGGCAACATAATGAGTACATCAGTCAATGAGCTCATGGGCTGTTGATCCTGCTTATGCAACTGTACTTCTTTCACTACATTTGAAATAAATATGATGCCTGATGTGGTAGACAGCTTGATTTAACAAAATACTAGTTACAATTCATTGAATAGTAGAGATGTTGTTTTCATACAATGTTGTGACTTGTTGTCAGACCCTGAAACTGCAAGATTCTAAGTGTCATAAAATTTCAAAGCAGTCCTATTGTATCTTTTGAATTTCAGGAATTGTTTTGAATAGGACTTAGATTTTCTCTAAATTTTTAGAAAAAAACAGTTTCATACTTTCCCCACCTCTTCCATACCAAAACTATGTTGTTTATCTTATATTAACAGGCAGCAGGAGTGAGTCAGAACAAACCTTGGCCAGACCCTTGATGAGGCTGCAGTAGTTCCGGGCACTTGGTTCAGCTAGAGAGTTAAACAGTCTGTCTGCATCATCACCGTCCCTACAATCATGGGAAATACAAGTGTGCTTTGAAAATGAAGGATTCAACAATAACTCAAAACTAAAAAGACCAGCTTAAAAAGCTATCATAAGGCATCTGCCATCTTTCTTCAGCTCTAAAGGGTCGTCACGTAATCTGGTAGTTAAAGGTTATCCAAGGGTGTTGGTATATGGGGGTAGACAGTGATGGCTTTGGTTGCAGTTTAAAGATTGGTAGAAGCATCTGATGTGTACAGCCTTCCCCCATCGTTAAACTGCAACCAAGGCTCCCACTGCCTACCCCCATCTACAACATCCTTGTCCAGTCACATTAGATATACACGATGCAAAACATGATGGAGTTTCTTCACAAAACGTGCAGCAGTTGCCTCACCTCCAGCGACGTACAGCAGGTTCATTTGCCCTCCTCATCCTCCCCTTCACATTACTCCTCCGTCTGGAGGGCTCTGCATCCTCCTGGGGGTCAAATAAGGTGACAGGGATGGTGTGAGGTGCATCAATACAATATTAGAAAGACCTTTTGTGCCATGCACCTATAGATTTTGCATTTTCAAACATTTGACTGTTGAGATATGGTAACAAAAATGAACGACAGACATGTCAGACTTCTTTCTACGTGATGTATATTTTACTATCATCTATAATGAAGGCAGTGATGTGTAACAACCAGGTTATTTTCCTATAATGTTGTATTTATCAGGTCTTGAACAGCGTCAAGATTTTTTTAGGACATGGAATGGTCTTATCTACGTTTCCATGCTGTAATTCTGACACGTTAACTGTACAGACCTCCTGCTCCTCAGGACTGAGTAAGCTGGCCTCCTGCCCGGGATCCCTGCTGCCATGGAAACACAGCAGGTCCAACAGGTCAGCTGTCATGTCCTGGGACACTGTCCCACCTGGGCATGGAGAAGGGATAATGATGGATTACAGTGTCCTATGGAGTGTAACGCATTTCAGTAGGTGCAAGCTGACCAAGCCATAAATGGCTCAATCTTCTAATCCTTCTAATCCTTAAAACATCCTTACATGTAGACTAAGTGCAGTCTTGCATGGTTGAAACCTTTGATTGGGTGTATATGGGAATTGGCTTGTTCTTACCACCGTCAACAATCTGGAAATACATGTCTGTGGCAGCCTTGAGTGCTTTCCTGCTCAGCCTCTCCTGTAAAGCTTCCTCACATGGCTCCTCAATCAGGAAGGTACTAGTTTTTGGCAAGAAAGCCTGTCACGGGAATGTGAAGTTTACTGATTAGCTACTAGGTGGCAATGCTACCATGTACAAGAACGAAATACAGTGGCAAAGCAACAACATGTGTTAAAAGCTGATCAAATATTAAAGATAAACAAAGAAACAGCTCAACTGTACCTCTATGGAAGGTTCAGCAAATTCCTGCTGAAAGAACTGTGGATTTTTGTTGATGAAGAACTCAGCTGCTTTCTGTCCAGACTCCTTTGCTAGAGAAAACCATTTCTGAAAGAGATGTGAAGTTTACACATTAGCTGCTAGGTGGCAGTGCTATTGTGTACCAAAGATTCATTCTAACCTAAATTCTAAATACTTACATACTGCATGGTTGTTCTTGGAATCAAGTAGGGATCATCAATGAAATTGTAGTCCACAGAAGTGGGATCCTGAGGTGTTGGAGAAAATAAAACAATCAACTTAAGTTTACACATCAAGTCAAGTCAACAACTAGTACATTTGTATTACTAGTAGTTTGCCACCATCTCCTAGCATAGTTACCTATAAGTCTATACCTCCGAACAGTTTAATAGTAGTTCAGTGCCTAGAGGTAGTATTTTGGCCTTGCAAATTTAACTAAACTCATAAAAAAAGAATAATACTCATTTTGTCTTTATCATCAACTAAACATAAGAAAACTCACCCTTTTGACCGTGGTTGAAAGTGCTTTCAAAACTGCAAGTTTGTCCCTACAAAAGTACAATGGAAAAAAATAAACTGCATGTAAAAAATTCTCACCAATGCTGTCGTTTATTTCTCTTCATAAAAAAGACTTATTCTCTGTGTTTTTCTGACACCTGAGTCAAAAATACTTGGAATTGTTACAGGGCACATGATGGAATGGAACTTCTTAATAAGTTAAAACTTGTATAGTTTACCTAACTCTATAGAAATGGTATACAGTACAACCTGCTACGATACACCTACATGTATTATTCCCTAACTAGTCAGACCTGTCAAGCCATTGGACATTCAACAACAAAGTTTCTGCAGTAATATCTAAAAGCATGTTTTGTGCTATCTGACTGACTTGTGCTATTGCTGCCTTTGTCAACTGTTGATGTGATGTTTGCCAGATAAAAACCTTTGACATAACACTTTTTACATGTTATTGGGTACTAGTATCAAGTTTTGATAGCATTGGAAAGGCACAAATTTACTTGTGTGAAGTTACTGTCAACATATGATATTACCATTTCTTCTTCCTGGGAATGACAAGTGGAACTTCTTCAGACCCTGATGCAAAAATACATAAATAGTAATAATGAAAAAAATGATGACATATAAAGATACATTTTAGGGAGTTTTAACCCCCGCCCCTCCCCTGGTAGACACCTGTACAGATGTAGTAACATCAGTTATAAATAAGTCATGTGTGTATATAGGGGTTCTTCATAATTTTTGAATACTAGTACCAGCGACCATGTTGGTGAGTAAGTGCATTACTGAAGCTGCATGTTGACGAGTTTAACACACATAAACTCTAATCCAACATGGGGCTAGCCTGATTACCATACTCAACAGGGTCAGCTTCAGGGTGTTCGGCCAGTCAAAGATCGTTTGGCACCCGATAGGGAGTTTAGCTGAGGTTTCTAAAGAAGAAATTAGAAACCTCAGCTAAACTCCTACAGGGTGACAAACGACCTTTGGCTGGCCGAACACTCCGAAGCCGACCCCGTTGAGTATGGTAACCCTGTATACTATACTACTCTTTGGAAGCATGTTTAACTCCCTATTCAGCACATTGAACTCACCACAGCTCAAAAGATAGTACCATAAATTAATTTAAAACCGTTCTTACCCTTTTCTTCTGTTGGTGCAGTTTCAGACTTATTTCCTGCTATTCCTGACGAACTGAGGCTCCTGAAAGTAGGAAATCGACGACAATTTTAGCACATAGGACATAACTCACTCGACCCTGATATCAAAACACGAACTATCAGGCATGTGGAGTCAAAGACATTTCGCCCCCCTCCCCCACTACGTCGGTAAATACATCGTCACGTAAACACATTACATCCAGACGAAATATAGACTAATCTGGCAGATGAAAAGTATTCTCACACATCCAACAACGCTGTAAAACTCACCTTGCGTCACGTTGTACTCGACTTATCCGAGATCTTAATACAATCCGGCAGGCACATCTTTGGAAGGGGGCAGCCATCTTTGTGACCTTATATGACCTAAAGGTTAAAGGTCGAACTGAACCAACATGGCGGCGTTTTCAAACAATTTTGTTGAGGTGAGTTTGGGCTCGACTTTAGTTTGCAAGAAAATTTTGAATGGACAAGGCCGAAAAGGCTATCAAAGTTTGTTATGATATAGCCGTGGACGACTCGAGTAATCCTTTTTAAAAAGGATTAGTCGTCCACGGCTACTAGTAGTTATGATATGAGAGTAAATTACAGTTACTCTCTCTCTGGTTGCCCATACACCCCAGTTATGATTTTACCAGGTAATATATATGGGGATATAGATCATGAGAGACAGAGGATTTTGGTCCGAATCATCAATGGCCACGAATGTTTTTCAGGCTTCTGTTGAGTCCGCGGCGCATAAGTTGAATCAAGTAAGTCATTGTTACCTGTACTTGTACATTAACACTAAAAGTAACCAGTGGTCTTCCAATTATGATGACAGAAACAGGAATAAACCGTTAGAATGTTTATTTAGACTTCATGTATCGTATGCAGAGGACCTGTGCATTCCAAAGATAGTGCTGACTTCATTGCCCAAACTATGTTAATGTTTTCATCTTTTCCAGTACTTAATTTTCAGAAATAACGCATTTGCATTAACATTGATAGAAAATAAGTCAAGAAGTTATATAGTTGAGTGTCTATTCAAGTATATGTATAGTATCAGTACACTCAGTAATTTTGGAACCTGTACCTAAATTATTTTCGTTACATTAAGCACGACATGAGATCATTATGCCAGGCATACCTTGCTGAAAGGCATCCGTTATCCCAACATATTCCTTAAACCAGTACCCATCCCAACACCTGACCTCATGTGGTGTAGGTTTGTCATCATTTAAAAATGTTCAGCATGTTTCAATGCAATTCTCGATGTTCAGTGTGCTTTCAACTAATGTTGTTCACTGTCTACAAACGTGGGCTTCTTGGACAGGTGCTTGAATGTGCCTAATAGTACGAAAAAAAATGGACCAGGAATACCATATAAGTGATTGTTATCACATAACTTATGGCCAGGTGGCTGGCTGGAAGAGGCAGGTTTGACTGACAATAATTGCTCTTTTACAATGTAGCTTCAAACAAAACAGGCTATGCTCTTTATCCAACAACTAAGAAATGCCCTCTGTCTGATGAACTATGCTATGTTATGTTCAGGAAAAAAAGCATATTCTTAACCCTGTTGTACTCCTCCAACAATACCTTTGTAGTTGGTCGTTGCCTGGGGTCCCTGTTGTGACATTGTTGGTGCACTTTGAACAAGTGTAATCTGATAACTTCACTTCCATTTACCTTTCCCAGTAAGTAGTCAACAACACCTGGAATTTTCCAAATGTCAGTTTTTTCATCATAAGAAGGCATTCTTGAGTAATCAAATGTTTCATTTTCAAAGGGCCAAAGCTGCTCAGGTGCAACAAATTGTGATCTAACTCTTTTTGAAAAACACTTGATGAAAAGATTTGCTTCATGATTTACTTCTGGGAGTCTATCCAGGTCGCCTAAGACAAGTTTAAAATCCTGTGTGACAAGAAACTGGGTTAGAGTTTTGTAGACACTGTTTGAGTCGCACATGACTCGTGTGCCAACTGGACTATTGTGTAGAAAATGTATTGCCTCTAGGTAACTCAGAGCCATGTTAAATCTTGTCCGGACATTGTCAAACTTTCTGTATGAATACAACTTTAGGATTCTCTCAATGAAGAAGGTTGCAGATCCAAATTTATAAAACTCTGTTAGAAGAGTTGTGTTGCATGATCCCACAAACTGCAAAACAGAAGGGTGTTGCAGGGTCTTCAGCATCTCTATACCTTTTGAGAAGTACTTGAGATAAGCCGTCTTCTTCAGTTTGCTGTACGCCACTGTGTGGTTTCTCCAGACAGCTTTGTAAACCTACAAAGTGCAGAAGGGAAGTATGCTGTAGTTATATACAGCATTTACTAATGATTTAGTAAAACGTACATTAAGTCATGTCTGTGTGGTGTAGTCATCTGCACACTCTGCAATAAATTCCATAGACCTGGTGCCTGGAGGCCACCTTTGTAACCTGTTTACCTTTTACATCTAAGATACCAGCTGTTTCCTGTCGACAAACCTACAGTAAAGTTTCCAGATATACTGATCTACAAACTTATTAAGGAGAAGTATATTACATGTATGACTTGTCAGACATGCATGTTGCTGACTTACATGTACCGGTATTTAGTATACATTATTGTCATATGAAAATTGTTCAAGATCTGACAGAAATGGGAAAACACAAGTCATTGCTGGTTTCCTGAATTGGGCACCTCACACAGTATTATAATCTAAAGTAAACGGAAAAAGTTTTAATCTGGGAAATAACATGTAGCGTAACATATATGTGTGTTTATTTATGCTAGCTGTGCCTCTACTACTAGAATTAGCTAGTTGACATACATTTTACATGTACCTGCTGTACAATCACCTACAACAGGGTCTAACAACAGTGAAAGAATAGGTGCATACTACATAATCAATTGGAAACATTACTGTTACCTTCTTCACAGCCCCTGATCCGATGTTGATCTTAGTGGTCACCTCATTAGTTATCTCTTTGCAGCCAAGCCATGGCATACAAGTTTCCATGGTGGACAGTCGAAAACTTCCCAGCGGGCACAACCTCCTCTGTCCCAACCCTGCCACAGTCACAACATCCGGATTGGACCTGGACTCTTTGACTTTTCCTTGTCTTTCCTGACCCAACATTTCATCGTCATAGTTGAAGAAGGCACTAACAGACTCCAGAGAGCGTGACCAGGACCACGGCAGTAAGTACAGAATCAGCAGAGTAAGGAGAAGGAGGCAGACCACAGCTCGCTTACACACACGACCCATCGTTATGGCGGCTGCTACATGT